GATTTAATTGGTCTGGGGTAGAGACCAGGAAATGAATATTTTTAAAAGTTTCCCCAGATTATTCTACAACTGCAGCTAAAGCTAAGAAACACTGAAGTGAAGGTACAAATAGTAGGATATGTTTTAAAAGAGTAAACCTCTATAAATCTTTCCAAAATATAATTAAAGATTATAAAATTATCCAGGATAAGAGTAGGATGAAAAATGAACCTGTTTACAGAAACATTCCAAGTTTAAAGGAAGTGGTTTACAGGGACAAATAAAACCAAGGACTAGTTTTATAGAGTGGTTAGTAAATGTATACAATTTGTTACCCAAGAAGCCATGCAAGGCTAAGACAAAGACATTCAGAAGAGTTTACACAAATCACAAGACAGTAGGTTGTTAAGGAAACAAGTAACATTTGAGTATATGATCAATGATTTGAGGCTGACACTGAAGGCAACTATTCACTCCTACTAAATGTCCCTTAGTGCCACCATCAGACCCAGAATATTAGACTGCATGATCCCAGGATGGCACTGACCTGCTCTAGCCTAAGAGTTCATGACTGAAGACTGCTTTTTTCTGGCAACAAGGAGATAAAGGAGAGTACAAATCTATCATGTACTTGCTACCATGTATTTATTCAGTGCTTACTTTGTGTTACATATTAGGCCTCTGCTAGGTACTTTAAAACATCTTATTCAGTTCTCACCAAGTTTATTATTTTATTACCCTCACCTTATACATGAGGAAACTACTTTTCTGAGAAGTCTGAATTACACAAACATGTATTCTTGGCATAAAACAAACTAGAAAGTTTTATAGTGAAGATTTAAATCCAGACCTATGCAATGTTGCCTTTCACTATAATTGTAAGTATGTTATAATAACAAAAAATAAACTGTCATTTTAAGAGCTTACTGTGTCCATTTAAAGGCTCAGTAAATCTTTTCAACAGTCCTATGAAGCTGCTCAGTCAAAATAATTTTGAGTCATTTTCAAACTTCTTTCAAACTTACATCCTATCCTTCAGCACATTTTGCTAGTTCTACTTTCAAAAAGTACTCAGAATCTTCTATATTTGGGATATGTATCAAAACCTATATCCACATATCTCTATGACCCTAGTTCATCTCCGGACTAGATTATTAAAATACAGTGTCCTAATGAGACTCCCCAATTCTTCTACCCTTGTCTTCCCTCTAAATCTATTCTGAACCCTTGCAAGGGTTCCCTTTAAAGACAATGGTGTCACTCCTTTGTTCAAAACATTTCAACAGATGCTTATCTTGCTGGGGTAAAATCTAGAGTCCTTACAATGGGCAAGACCCAGTAACCTCTGTCATCATTTCTTGTTCTCCTCCTCTAATCTAGCCACACTTGCCTCATTATTCCTCAAACATTCCAAGCACGCTCCCTTCTCCCTACTGTTCTCTTTGCCTAGAACTGATTTGATATCCTTGATTGATTTCACCTTTTCAGGTCTTTGCTCACATGGCACCTTATCAATTAAGGTTTTCTTTCTGGCTCTGCCCTCTCAGGCACTCCATCTCCCACTTACCACTTTTATAATGGCACTTAATACCATCCAACATTTTATGTATGGAAATATTTATTACTGCCTGTCTTCTTCGACAATTAAAGCTTCATGAGGGAGGATCTGTTTTCATCATTGTTGCTTCTCCGGTGCCTAGAACAGGACCTAGCATGTAGCAGGTCACTGCAAAACATTTGTTGAATGAAAATATAAACCAATAATGCCAAAACCCAGATTCATAAACACTCCAGTGTACAGCCTCTACACCACATGCCCTAAGTGACTTCAATGAGAACACCTTTTTCACACAATTCTAGCATTTCCAGGTAAAGAGCAGTGCCTCCCCTACTTCACACACATACTAACCACATCAAAAACTAGGAACAGTAATTTTTATTAATTTACTGGCTTGCTTTCCTTAAAGTCAGTAATCTTCAAATACTGAGCCTTAGCTTCTCATTAGTAGGGTTCTCATAAAGTTCTTTCTACCTGCTATTCTCCCCCTTCACAGCTAGCTCTTCTCTAGTCTAAGAAAATTTAAACCCCGCAAATGAGAAACACTTTGATTCTTCTGCGTTTTGTCTTGTTCTGTCACTCCAACTAGACTGCATGTTTCTTTGAGGTCACCTAACCCAGATGTCTCACATACAGAATATTCTCTCAGATATTATGATCAATATTCCATCTCCAATTCCTTTTACAGATATAAAGCTCAGTAATAATTTTGACCATTCTTTTCCCATGGATTACATATTCTCATCTGAGAGGTACTGGTGGCGAGGGAGGGAGATTACCAAAAAGTAAAAGGAAAGTCTTATATTAACTAAGATGCACAAGGGAGAAAAGTGGCAAATAAGTTTTTGGCACAATGTGGCCGATTCTTTACTCCCAGATACTTACTAAGAAGGGAGGAAGTGGTGAAGGCAGGCCAGGTAGATGAAGGCTCGGATTGCCTTTCACAACTCTGCCTGGCAACTTCAAAGAGCAGGACTGACAGGTTCCTGATGGGACAAATTAGACTTAACCTTAAAGGTATTTTTGTTGACTTTGGTGTTAATGACTTGAAGAGAGATTTCAAAAATGAATAGGACACCAACTGATCCAAATTTCAACATCATTTATTCAACTCTCATTTCCTACTGTTTATCTAGAAAATTCTAATGGTGATGGGATTGATTTTAAAGAAATTATTTAAAACATACATTTTCAATTATGCTAATAAGGTCAAGACCATAGATGTCTACAAACTCTCTACCCCCAAAATACATATTTGTTCTGTTTGAAAATATGACATATTCTTTAAGTTTCTCTGTGGATGTTTAATTTGAGCACAAATAAGAAAATACTGTGAAAAGGTAGTGCCCTTAATATGATGAGCACCAGTGAGGAAACCTATCCTTAAGTTTAATATTTGCCATAAATAATCCAGGAAACTGTGTGTGTGCACGCACGTGTACATACATAAAATTGAAGTGATCATAATTACAAGTAAGTTGAAATGTTTAAATATTGCAGGCGTGAGGGAAGCAGATGAGGACATGGGTCAGGGCACATCACGACAGGAGGTTAGATGGGTTGGAAATTTCCAAACTTCCACAGGTGGGAAGGTATGACTTTTCTTATTTTTAACCAAATTAGCAGGACTTATCTTAAATTCTCTCAACTGGGAAATATATTAAAATTTAATAAGTCACATACAAAAATCATTTTCCACAACTGTACAACATTCAAGTTAAAGCCTGCCTTTAACACTTCCTACATCTGAAATCCACAAGCTCATTTACAGAATGCGTTGCTAATAATGGTGAATTACTATTATATTTGAAAGAAGCATTCAAGTCTGCTGGTTATTATACACACACAGATTCATTATGAGAAAAATTACAAATATCAACAGACTAGACCCTAAAGCAACATAACAGTAGGGATGGAAAAGTTCCCAAAGAAAATAAATGTATAACGAAAGAATCAGAAGGAATCTTACAAAGTATGGGTAACTTCCTCACTTCATTCAACTCCTCCCAGAGGCCTTTCCTGGCCACCCCATCTGAAATAGCTGTGCCTATCGCACTCTATTCTTGTACCCTGATTTATTTTTCTCATAGCAGTTGCCCTTACGGGTCAGAATATAATAGAGTTACATTTGCTGATTGTTTGCCTCCCAACTAACATAAGCTCTAGGAGGGCAGAAGCTTTGTCAGTTTTGTTAATTCCAGGGCCTAGAGACACACACCTGCACTTGATAATGTGCTGAATAAATACATGATGAAACTGAAGTTCAGAGAGGTTAAAGGATTTCCTGAAGGCCACAGAGCTAGCAGCAAATACAGCAAACCCTTTCCACTACAAAAACTCTTGTCTGCTGGCTAGAATTTCCACAGCCACTTCCACAACACCAAAGCAGCCTGTTCCAGCACATGATTCCATTTAATATATTTCTCTCTTTCTTTTTTTCAAGTGCCACAAAAAAAAAAAACACTGGTAGCATCTTAACTCTTAAGTGTTTCACCAACCAAACCTATACTCAGATTTCATAAGCCTACAGAGGATTAGCCTGTAAAACAGACACAGCCACATAGTTCTTTAAGTTCCCTGTGAAATTGGTATATGCCTTTTAGTTTTAAGACCACTGAAACCTATATACCAATTCAGAATGGCCTGTAAAGTATCATCCTCACTGTCCAGCTTCTAAGAGCCTCAACAACAGCTCCTCCCTGGATATACTTTATCTTGTAGTTTATGCAAGGAAATGTAGCCAACTTTAAAGTCCCTTTTAGTTCCCTTCAAAGGACAAATTAACCTCACAAAACACTGAATCCTTAAGAAGTTTTAGATTCTGTAAACAGGAAACCATCACTGTGATCATCTATGCCCTCCATTCAAAATCCATGAATCTGAAATACCTAAATGAAACGCGGGAGGGGGTGAGAGAGAGGAAAGAGAAGAAACATTTACATACATAAAAAGGGAGCAGATATTCCTAGTAACACTTTCGCCCAACATTAGCTGCTTGCCTCAAGTCAAGGCCACCTTCCTTTAGGAAGAGGAGAGGAGCCAACCGCCCATGCCTTTGGCGAGGAACGTCTCTAGACCTAGGGGGCGAATCACTAGGGCAGAGGATGATTTGCTCGCCGCCTCTCAAACTACTGTCAGCCCAATCAGTAAACTGAAAGGGATAATCTCAAATGTGGGATGGCAAGAGAGTTGCAATGAGACTTAGAGTTGAGAAGGAAACGGCAGACCAAAAGGAGCGGGGAGGGTAAACAACGCATCAGCGGAGGGGGTGGGAACCTGGGTCAAGAAGCGGGGTCAACGGAAGGCAAAGGTGAAGAGAGGACGGGAAGGAGGTGCTGAGAAGGATGGGCCGGAGGGAAGAGGGAGAGGGGCGCGAGGGCTGAAGCGGAGGTGGGGGGGAAGGGTCCGGGGCGGGGCGGAAGGAGCGAAGAGGCGGGATGAAGAAGGCCGGGAGGGTCTTTACCTGCAGCTCCGCCCGCTCCACCTCCCACTGGGCTCTCTCCACCTCGAAGCGGGCCCACTCATGCTGCAGGAAGTGCAGGATCCCCGGCAGGCTGTACTGAGCTCGGGCCGCCCCCGCCGCAGCCACCCCGTCGCCGGCCGGTGCAGCCTCCGCCAGAGGCCCGAGACCCTTGGCACCGCCGGCGCCCGGGTGGTTGTTACTGAAGAAGACGCCGGGACCCGCCTGCTCGTCCATGGCGGCCGCAGAAACCGGGGAGCTGCCCAGGCGCCCAGCAGCGGAGGCGACCGCGGCGGCCAGCAGCGCCTCCTCCTCCCTCCGCCGCTCCCCGCCCACACCCCAGTCAGCAGGGAGCAGCCGCCTGGGCGCGGGGGCCGGCCGAGCCCGGGACGGGCCGGGAAATGGGTCAACTGCGGCGCGCGGGCGGCCCGGGGCCTGCCGGGAAATGTAGTCGCGGGGCGCGGGCGGGGTCGGCCGCGGCGGCCTGGGGGTCTGCGCTGGGCTCGGGCGCGGCCGCGGCCCCGCCCCTGCCGCCGCTGCGGCGGCGGTGGCGGTGGCGGTATCGGGAACGCTGGTTTCCTCAGCGTGGGGACCGGGCCCGGCGTGCGGCGCTCCGGTCGCCCTCGCACGCGGAAGTCCTCACGCCGTGCTCCCTGTTGCGCGCGCGCGCGCGCACACACACGGAAGTTATCTGCCAAGATACCCGCCGAGGATGCACAATTTTTAGGGTCTCCTGGTAGTTCTGTTAAAAAACAAATTCAAAGCGGACTCGCTGGACCGGCCCCTGGGTGGGGGTTCTCCAGCCCGCGGAAGCCGGCCTCTCCCTTTGGTTCCCACTGAGGTGTTTCTCTGACCCTAGAAGCTCTCAGTTCTCCCCCAATCTACGTATCGCTGTCGCTCCTCCCTTTCTTGTTCACTTGGCGGTTCAAACCTGTTGCCTGATGAGTCTTAACTTGTAAGGAACACCGATCACTGTTTCTTCTAGAATAGCAACTTTCAGCTTCTTCCAAATGCCAGTCTGTTGACACCTCATCTGAAACTGTGCTCCCCTTAAGTCCCTCTCCCTTGGTAATTAATCTGGCAGTAAATCCTGTAAAAGTTTCAGATATCCACAGTTCTGTTACTTAGGTCTTTTTCCTCTCTTCTTACCGCTCAGTTCTTACTCTGAATTTCAATTCAACAAACACTTGATTATCAGTTATTTGTGTCTCTGGGAATAGAAGGGTAAATGACACACAGTCATCAAAGGAGACTGGCAAGTATATAATTCTCACGGTGCCTTAAAGCTGCGCTACCCTGAAAAAGTTCCTTTCTGTTCCCTGTAACTGTCTTAGGTGTCCACGCTCTTTTCCCTTTTTTTTGTCCGATTCCCAGCTTCTTCCACGGTTGACCTGCCAACTTGGAACTGTATAATCCTACCAAAGGCACACCAGAGTATTTTCAAGTTTTTCTCTATCAATGTTACCCTTCCCCCGAAGTATAGTTAAATTCACACTATAAATTCACGCTACAGCGGTAATGAAATGAAGATGCCTGAAAAAATTAACAAATGGGAATGAAATCAAACACTTAATTTGGTCCCAGTAACAACTTATTTTAATTCTTTTGTGCGATGGATTTCTGGGGTATCAGAACTGATGGTCATGAAAAATTTAAAGATACAGACTGGTGAGTGACATGTCAGGGAAGGACATCCTGTCCCTGTCCTCTCCCCCCTCTCTTCCCATGGCTACTTGTGAAAACTACAGGAAACACATTGTATCTGTTCTGGTAGCAAATAAACATGGCAAGCTCTCTTCTCCCACTTACTGAATGTTTCTGCTTTATGAATTCATTCTTTATAATAAAAATTTGATCCAGGCCTGGCCAAATTTCCTGTATTGTAAATTATTTTGGCTCTAGGTGTCCTTTGAGATACTGCCCAATCCTCTCATTTTACAGCTCAAGAAACTGAAATCCAAAGAAGTTGAGACTTGTCCACAATGAGGCTTTGAGTGACTAGAAACCAGAATTCCAGACTGTTATCTCATTGATCTTTCCATTAACACATTGCCTCCTCCTTTAATCAGAGCTACCAGAGTACCAAGAGGACAATTAGGCAACAATGGCATATTTTTTCATCCGAAGGATTTAAATAATCTTACGTTTTGAAGGTCAGAAGGTATTTTTCCCCTAATAGAAGACATGTCCAACAGTTCCTCTCAATAATTCATGACACACTATAAAATATAATTAAATTTAATGGTAGCTGTTTAAGAACCCGTTAAGTCCTAGAACCTATAAAATTCCTATAACATGGGCAGTAAATTGAACATGAGCATTAATAACTTCTTTTCTGGATGTGTCTCCTCAGGCAAGGGAAATGAGTAAAAATAAACAAGTGAGACTCCATTAAACTAAAAAGCTTCTGCACAGCAAAGTAAACCATTAACAAAACAAAAAGGCAACCCATGAATGGAAGAATATATTCCCAAATGATATATCCAATAAGGGGCTAATATCCAAAATATATAAAGAACTCATAAAAGTTAACATCAAAAAAACTGGCAGAGGATCTGAATAGATCTGTTTACAAAGAACTACAGATGGCCAATAGACACGTGAAAAAATGCTCAATATCACTTCATCAGGCAAGTGCAAATCAAGTGAGATACTGCTCCACACCACTCAAAATGGCGAATATCAACAAGACAAGAAATAAGTGTTGATGAGGATGTGGAGGAAAGGGAACCCTCTTACACCACTGGGAGGATTGTAAATCGGTGCAGCCTCTATGGAAAGCAGTAGGGAGGTTCCTCAAAAAACAAACCATAGAAATGCCATGTGACCCAGTAATTTCACTTTTCGAATTTTACCCAAAGAAAATAAAATGACTAATTTGAAAACATACATGAGTCCCCATGTTTATTACAGCATTATTTATTACAACAATGAAAAAAACCTAACACAGGAGGAGATTAAACTAATACAGCTCTGAAGTTGCAGCAAGACTTCTCTTAAGAATATTGATGATCAACTTGCATTTCTCTAAGCAAAGATAAACTCATTTTTTAGCACATTCCCTTCCATTCTCCCCACCAACTACATCCCTTCTTTATCCTTTGCTCTTTTAAAATTTCCAGTGAAGAGAAATTAAAGAGGACACTAACAAATGGAAACTCATTCCATGCTCTTGGCTAGGAAGAATTAATATTGTCAAAATGGCCATCCTGCCTAAAGCAATCTACAGATTCAATGCAATGC